CTGATTTTCAGGAAATTCATTCCTCTCATGATATTCAAACCTCCGTTATTGCCTAATATCAAACATATTATACTGTTATTTTTAAAAAATAATGATTCTGTTTCAACTTGATTGAGAGAACTCTATCAACATGACAGACAGAAAAACATGACACTAGTCATTCCTCATTCACCAGTTAGTTTACGATTAATAGAAACATAAATATTTGAAATAACAAACCAAAATAATCGGTAAACATATGGAGACTCAACCAGAAGTAATCTGTACATTCCAGAGATTGTTTGATTGTCTATAGAATGTTTACGCTGCGTTTAAAATTTAGGTTTCATTTAAGGCATCACAGAGTGATTTGGACCGTTAGATTACTAATTTAGCATCTGATGATCTATATTTTAAATTCAATCAATTTGGGATATTTAAAAGTCATCTTTCATTGTCATAGCAGATAAATAACTGCCCCACTTGCAACATGTTTCAACGCTATAGTCAGTCAGTCAGCTACAACGTAGAACTTCGTACTTAAGTACATCAGTTCATGTTGCCATACCACATTAGCACAGAGACGCAATTGTCAATTCCAATCCCATAGTGGCAGAGATAGTAGAAGTACTACTGATAAAAGAGCAGATTCGGGTTCCAAGATATTATTCAAGAAGTGTAATTCATTGAGATAGGTTTAGAAAAGTAGTAATCCAGAAAATTAGGATTTGATAGAACATAAAGAATGAATGCACCTGCGCCATTGAAAATGATTCTGAGCCATGTCATTCAAGGTCGGTGACTTTCGTCTCGCGGACCCCAACAAGGTAGCCTACATGACTCAGTCCACTTGTCAGCAACTTCATGGATTTGTGCTTAACACTAATTATTTCTGAAATAGGAATTTTGTGGAGTTATTTTACATTGACAGCAGTTTCAGTAATATGCCTATCATTGTAAATTTATACAACAGAGATACAATCTTTAAAATACGTACATTTATGTTCAAATAACTCACGTAAAGAATAACTTATCCATAATATCTCTATTTAGCTTGATAATTCGTACTTAACTGATATCGATCAGATATAACCTATCATGAGTTAATATCTTTATTTTAGTGTTAGAAAGCTCCAAAATATGCCATAGTAAGTTTATAAAGGCCTATAAACGCCATGAAATGCTTTATCCAATCAGCAGTGAACAGAACTTTGGAAGGAACATCTGTAAAATGTGGAATCGCGTACCACGATTCTGACTGAATATTTGAGCATTCCGCTACTGTGTTTAATATCGTTCTTGAAACAGCCAGAAGCCCAAGGTCATGAGTAACTCTGTAATCATCCTCATTTTTCTGTATATAAACCAACCTTTATCACACTATGCCTATTTTCTCCTATGGCATGTAGATTTTGGCATGGATTATTTAGAAACAGGTAGGAAATCAGATCCTGCGATTCTTTAGCAGACTTGACAACGTGATTTTTACACGAGTGCCTTAAACAAATGTTAAGCTACCGTATTTATATCAATATAGGTTAGAAAAGAATAAAATCCCTAATCATAACAGTACATTTTATCGTTGTACTCTAAATTACATAATAATATCTCTATAATTAGTACTTCTGTTTAAATACACTTACTTACTTACTTACGCCTGTTACCCCCGATGGAGCATAGGCCGCTCACCAGTTTTCTCCAACCAACTCTGTCCTGGGCTACCCTTTACAGTTCTGTCCAATGTTTGTTCATTGTTCTCATATCTTTCTCTATTTCTCGGCGTAATATGTTCCTTGGCCTTCCTCTTTTTCTTTGTCCTTGAGGGTTCCAAGTGAGCGCTTGTCTTGTGACGCAGTTAGGTGCTTTTCTTTGTGTGTGTCCTATCCACTTCCACCACTTCTTCCTGATTTCCTCCTCCACTGTAATCTGGTTTGTCCTCTCCCACAGTACGTTGTTACTGATGGTGTCTGGCCAACGAATCCGAAGTATTTTGCGTAGACAACTGTTAATAAACACTTGTATCTTCTGGATGATGGCTTTCGTAGTTCTCCAAGTTTGCGCTCCATACAGTAGAACTGTCTTGATATTTGCATTGAAAATCCTTATTTTGGTATTGATTGATATTTCTTCGGAGTTCCAGATATTTTTCAACTGTAGAAATGCATCCCTTGCTTTGCCAATCCGTGCCCTCACATCGGCATCGGATCCACTTTGATTGTCGATGATACTGCCAAGATATGTTTAGGTGCCAACGTCCTCCAAAGAATCACCATCAAGAGTGATTTGTTTGACGCATTTTGTGTTGTATCGTAGAATCTTACTTTCCGCTTTACGTATGTTGAGACCTACTGCTGCAGAGTCTGCTGCCACACTAGTTGTCTTCTCCTACATTTGTTGTTACATGTGAGATATAAGAGCCAGGTCATCCGCGAAGTCCAGATCGTCCATCTGCGTCCTTGCTGTCCACTGAGTACCGTACTTCCCTCCAGATGTTGACGTCTTCATCATCCAATCGATCACAAGGAGAAAGAGAAAGGGTAAGAGTAAGCATCCATGCTTGACACTGGTCTTCACCTTAAACGAGTTTGTCAGCTATAGATACATATACAACGTGAAATTTTATTCTCACTAAATGAATATATTATAAATCACCACCATAAAGTGGTAGTATAGAAAAAGTAAACTACTACAAAGATTGGATATGAATTTCTTCCACTTCAGAATTTGTACACTGAATATAGTTTATGACAAAGAGGTTAATTATTTTTAAAATACTCTTACTCAGTAAAATAGGAAAACCATATCGTAAACGGTTAATTTGCAAATCTTCAATCCATCATCAATCCATTGTCTGACATTTCACCACTGTTCATGCGTTTCATACAAATTCCATTGTGTTCCCACTCTTCCTTCCTCTTGATCTTCCCCCATCTTCTGCTGCCAGACATTACATTTACACTCGCGTCATATACTACTTATAAGTAGCGCGCACCACATATATATATATATATATATATATATATATATATATATATCTGCGTGAAAAGATCATCAAGGTTACTCAGTCAGTATCGATCAATAGATTGATTAAACTCACTTTTAAAATGTATACTACATCGATCTAATATATATATATACATTATATTCAGCTGATAAAAACAATAATGAATAACATAGATTATCGAAAAAATTTTAAATTATTCATTATCTAAGTCTTCATAACTCTAGCTTGTTTATTGTTTAATTAATTCCAATTCACCGTGTTTTGATATTTATCATTTTGTCAATTCAAAAAAACATTATAACTAATTGAAAAAAAATTACCAGTATATTTTGCCTTGTCGATGAACAGGTAAGTAATCTTTCAGAATTCATAGACATAGTCTATAAATATTCAGAGATTATTCATGTTGATAAATTTCGATTTGATAGTAGTAGTGTGGTGCGCGCTACTTATAAGTAGTATATGACGTGAGTGTCAACGTAATGTCTGGCAGCACAAGATGGGGGAAGATTAAGAAAGGAAGAGTGAGAAAACAATGGAATTTGTATGAAACGCATGAATAGTAGTGACAATGGATTGATGTTTTGCAACAGGAACAGTCCAGTTCGATATGATGAACTGATATATTGCAAATGAACGATTTACGATATGGTTTCCCGATTTTACTGAGTAACTCTGTAATTTTCGTTAATTACAATTCGGTTGCCCTCACCTGTGTTCTCGTTCACTACAGTAGTAGTAGTAGAGTATAGTCTACCTTTACCAAATAGTCAGTTCACTATTCTTGAAACTACTTTACTGAGTTATAAGTTTGTTTATTCGGTGCAGTTTAACTCCCTTAACTTTGTTTCATAACTAAGTTTATTTACTGATTGATATACAAACTTTTTTGATGAGATGTCATTTCATTTGATGAGTCTTGATTTTACTAGCTAGCACAAAATGAACACTTTTTCAATTTCACTATATGCTTGAAAAGTATTTCGCATAAAAATGTACACATATTATTTGTTCGGGATCTCGATCATATAAGTGTATTCCTAAATTATTAACTAAAGGTTAGTTAGAAGAATCCTTGTTGAAAGAAACACTTATTTCATCTGTAGTAATTTCTATCGCTGATTGTATGCTGTGCTCCATAAAGATAAACATACATTTGTATTAAAATATAAGCTGATCGATCGATTCAGTTAGGTATACTGTTGTTCGTATAGATTATCGTCAGAAGTAACCCTGAATTTTTTTATTTTACGTTTAGTAGAATTTGCTTACTATCATGTACTTTCCCACTAGAACCCACTGCGACAACCGTACACTGACCAGTCACCCTACAACCCAATGACGAATTACGTAACCTAATAGAATTGTCAAATTGTACAATTAACATCATTTGGGCTTGATTCCAATCTTAGCTATCTTTGGTTCATTCAGTGTTCGGAATAACTAAAACTGGTTTTCATCTAAAGTAGCTAGCTATATCTATCTATCTATCAAGGCATAAAATGACTTAAGTTTTGTAAATTCATATAGTGTATTTATCAGGTTTAATGTCGAGTAGACTATATTGTGTTTAATTGATTGCAAACAATGGGGCTAAAAGTTTAACGAATAAACACAAGTATCACACATTTCGCTATAAATAGTATGTACTACATTTAGATGTTACAATCACGCTTATCCTTGTGTTTTTGTATCACGATTTTCAGGTATGAAAAATAAATGATACGCCCACAAAAATAAACCAATTAATAAACAGTATACTTTTCAGTCAGACCATATAACCTTGACCATTTCAAGGACAGATATCCATGTTATCGACACGCCCTAAATGCGTGACTGCCAGCTGACTCAATTGTGATTGGCTGAATGAATATTTATATTTAATGTCCTTAGTTTGTCTATTCATTGGTCATTTTTAATTTTTCGATGCAAGAGACGGGGCGTGCCAAAGCATAAATAAACGTGGTTTTGGGATTGCGTCATTTCATTTTTGAATACCATAAGAATTGTAGATAATATGGGAATAGCCTATGAATCTTTATGTCTACCAAATGCTACAGTGGATTCAGGATACGATAAAGTTAGTTTGCAATTATTTCAAACAACAACATTGTATATATTTCACTAGAATGTATATTCACTATGTTTTCATTTTACTAATAACATGGTGTGTTTTGTTTTACAGATTAATGAACTACAAGCTGCTGAAGTTTTATTATCACTGGCCAAAGGTTCTTGCGAAAATTGGTCATTATATGCACAAGATTTATCATCTATCAATCAAGATTCATATTTTCCTCAATATCGAAATATGCTTAAAGAGACAGTTTTACAAAATACATTTGCGGAAGATGAACAAAGAAGTAATAAATCTCAACCTTATTTAACATCATTAGACAGAAATTTACATCGCAACATAAAATTTAAACTTCATCGAATTAAATCGTTAACTTATAAAAAATCACAATCATCACCATGTTTTGAGAAATTTCAACAAACTCCAGAAACTATCCCACCGCAGAATGTTAATTCACTTTGTCCTGCCGCCAGTACACTTAATTTACATGTGAGTTACATTAGTTATTAATGTAGTTAAATATTCATATGTTTTAAAACGTCGATAACATAGCCTAACACTACACTTTAATTTGTAGATTAGAATTTTATCATAAGTAGTATATATAATTAATGTTATCAGTATTTGACTTACGAAACACAACTGTATTTTGTTTAATATGAATTTACTTTACTACTTTTACCCATTACTGTTCTGTTTTTCGAAGTATATTGCTATTAGAACCGAGTTGTAAGTATATTCCAATTCACTGATTAGAAATCGTATGTGAAGTAAATTGAAGATATTTAACTTATAGTTAGTGATGGTGCAATCAAGAGTGGAAAGAGTCTGCTATCTGTCTCAAAATGCTCTCACATGACAATGTGTATAAAACCCACTGTCAATGAATTCCTAATCACTGCCTTCTTATGATAGAGGTGTTGTTTAGGAAATTGGAAAGACCTAGAGAGAATTTCTGGATCCTAAAATGGATCCACCCTAGGAGAGTTGGAATACTTTGATTCAAAACAAATGGTTCACATGAGCTCTAGGAGCCTGATGGTACGAACGGCGTATAAATCTATATTTAATCACTAGCTACCATGGCATTGCACCTCTGAATGTTGCTCCACTGCCTTGTGGATTAGATCTCTGGGGATCAGGTGATCGGAAAAGGGCCTTCTAACAATACCTGCTTCGGTCTGTGCACCCGGACAGTATCCCACCTCATACATACATAAATTTGATTATTTATATGGCGCATAAATATTTAGGTGCCCCATTGTACTGATAATTGTACTCAAATAAATAACGTACAAGTTCTCACCAACAACACTGATTAAAAATGTGTTTAAATAACAATATGGAAGCCAGCTAGTCTATCAATGCTCACCAATATGACACATTTGCTACTAACTCCATTTTTAAAATAACTCTTAGTCCTAATTCCTCCTTATTAATTCCTAAAACTATTTTAAACCTAGCTATTCAAGTTATTCAAGTCTCCTTAAGTCTCTTTGATATCACTCACAAATTCTCCATAAGTACTAATTTCACCCATGATTATTTTTGCTGTGTATTTAGTATGGTTATTCCTATTTAGAGAAGCTCTTTCTTTACTCAGTGCACACCAACCAATTAAGGAATCGTACATTGTTGCACTAAGTCAATTTTCGTATAAATTTTGCTGTAGACTGTAGTTCTGTATGTGCCTATTGAAATATAGCTCCTAAATTTATGATAACATTTAGCACACTTCCTAAGTATTAACTTTACACAATTTTTTATGTATTAAGATATTTCCTCATAAGGTATTTCTTACTTCGTAATAATTTAATTGCAGGCTAATCGAAGTAAACAATATATTTCCGACACTAGATGATCGATCTGTTAACCAATCAGAAAACAGTATTTAATTATAAAGCAATTTTTTGTAGAAAAGTGATAAAACCACAATGAATAAACTATTTGACATGACTAGTGTGACGTCACATCAGTCAGTCAGTCAGCTAAAACATGGGACTTCATACGTATGTACATCAATTCAAGTTGCCATGCCATATTAGCACAGAAAGATCTATTTGTCAATTCAGACCCCATAGTGGTAAAGGTAGAGGAGGCATGAACAGTAATTGGAAAGATAAGGGTTTGAAGATATCATTCAAGAAGTGTAATCCAGTGAAAAAACCTGAGGAGAAAAACATGAGGGTCACAAGGGATTTATAAGATTAGAATTTGAAGAAACACAAAGAACTTATGCTATGCTATTCAAAGTCCCTAACCATTTGTTACGGTAGTATCGCGCACCCCAACCAGGTAGTCTACACCAACTAACATGGCTCAATCCACTTTTTAATGACTGCATGGATTTGTGTCATGTTTTGTTTTGGCCGCCCTAACTTTTCTTCCAGCCTACCCCTACATCAAAATAATGTCGCTTGTCTAGGCGGTCGGTGATTGAACATGCGTAACACACATCCAAGCCATCTCAACTGATGTAGTTTCACTAATTCACCAATTTAGCTGCCTTCCTTACCTAGTTCTCCTTTTCCTAACCCGAACAATGCTTCGAAGTCACCTGAACAAATTTATAATTTGCAACTTGTTAGTGATTAAATAAACAGGTTCTACTCAAACTATCTATCATTTCGTTTAGAAATTCCAAAGCTTCCATTTTAAGTTTGATCGATTCTCCAGTTTAGTATATTTCTGTCTTATGTGTCTAGTATAAATTATAAGAGTGGGTTCCTCGAGCATGTAAACTTTCATTGATCTATCTTGACAAATGACTAAGTCATATTATCTCTCTGTTAATACAGATAATTAAACTGACCTATAACATAGCTAAAACATTACTACTACTTTTATGATTGGCAGTGTATTGTAAAACCCTAATGCATTCCTACACCCTGACCTATTATTATTTCTTCATACATTGTACTTTTTTTTGTGGGTTAGGCTAAGCCACTTGCTCCTTTTTTTATCACCGAATTCTAACTTGATAAAAATTATGTCTATTAAATATTGTGTTTAAAACAAAGAAACTGAATCCAATTAATCAGGTTAATAAGCTTCAATTGAAACTCATACCCAATTGTTGTTGTATAATCCATTGTACATTGAATAAAACAGATTGAAAATGAAAATTGTTTTACCAAACTTTTTTACTATTCTTCAGTGTTATGGAAAATAAGTGTTATGTCATCAAACTCATTTATTGTCATTTTCCCTAAATCATAAATCATATTTATTCTATCAGTTTCGCTCATATTCCCTTTGTTTATCTATATTTCATCGAATGTTTTGTCCTGTTCATCGATCGTTTTCTGTAAAAAAAAATAACTTATCGATTTTTATCTATCTCTCTCTCTATCTGATCAGTTAGTTAGTTATTCATGTAGATTGAATAAACTAGATTGAATAAAATATTATCCTCTTATGTTTACATTCATGCATAAACCAGTGTCATTACTGTGTCTTTAACTCTACAAAACATTAATTTTGAGAGTTTTATTTTATTGGTTTGTTTGCTTCACACTTCATGGCTGCACAACGAGAAATTATTAACTTTCGCTGAATCTATTTCTGAATACAGACAATTCAGTATGCTCTGCGCAAGCTTTGATTAATCTGGTTTTGACTGAAATTCGTTCGGCATGTACATTAAGCTGACTAGTTTCAAATAGGATGAAACACGCTTCTTTGAAGTCCACTGCTCACCACATTCAGTCTATCCTACATAAACGTAGAACGATTTAATTTAGATTAGGAGTTATTATTCGTAACTATGTTAACAGTATCGAGGTGAAGACCGGTGTCAGGCAAGGTTGCTTACTCTCATCCTTTCGTAGACGATCTGGCCTTTATATCCCACACGCAACAATAACTACAGGAGAAGACGACCAGTGTAAAAGCAGCCTCTTCTGCAGTAGGTCTAAACATACACAAATGAAATCCAAGATTCTCCAATACAACACAACATGCATCAAGCAAACCCCAGTTGATGGAGGAGCTTTGAAGGATGTAGAAACCTTTACATAACTGTGTAGCAGCATTGACGAGCAAGGTACATCTGATGCAGATGTGAAGGCGCGGATCGGGAAAGCAAGGGTAGAATTTCTACAACTGAACAATATCTGGAACTGAAAACAACTGTCCGCAATCATCAAGGTCAGAATTTTCAATACAAGTGTCAAGACAGTTCTCTTGTGTTGAAAAACTACCAAAGCCATAATCTAAAAGATACAAGTGTTTATTGACAGATGTCTACGCAAGATACTCTGTCAGGTTTCAACCCTGACTGACAGGGGGATATTCTCTCCAGTGTTTCTTTTACCGACTGGTTATGTGCTTATTCGAAACCACTAGGTGATATATGGCCTAATTACAACGGACTGAGTGTGTTCATTCCTTATTGAATGTAGAATGTTGAGTTCTTTAATAATATCAATCCATAGTTCCTTAAAAATTGCACCTGTTATTTTCAAGCTAACTTCCTTTTGTCTGTCAGATTTTAAATCACACAATAATCTAAGTTGTACCATCACTGAATGCCAGGAGGCATCAAAATGTCGTTTCGTCTTACAATCATATTCCCCAGTAGTTTCGACCCACTATCCCCACCCTCTAGAAATCAAACTGAGGATCTTCGAACTCACATCAGAATACTTAAGCTTTAAACCACTAACTCCCTATCCAACTTTGTTATTGTTTAACTTCAATCGATTCAAAATATTGCGTAACCATTTTCCATTGTATGTGGTAGATAACTATCTTATACTCGATATGTTTCTACTATACTAGTCATGACTTATCACTAAAACTCCAATAATCGCATCTTATTAGAGCCTAGTCACTAGTGAGAATGTGATTATAGATGAGCTGTGGCTAGCAGTGGAATCCAGGACTCACATTTAGTCCTATCTGGGACTCATCAGCTGGGCGTATTTAACCTCCAAATTTTGAAATCAACTTCTGGATTCTAACCCAGTAACTTTCACTCCAAATCCTGACACGCTTATCACTTACTTACTGAGTCATACCTCGTTTCTTAAGATTAGTGACCACCCATACTCAATAGTAAAGTAGATAATGCGTTGCGGTATGAAGTGAAAGGTACTAGGTTCCAGTTGATGAATGGACATCAACTGTTGGGTCCAAGTACGTTTAACTGACCAGTGCCAAGTAGAAGAATACCTGCACACTAACTAAGTCTAATCTATTATACGTAGATAGGAATTTTACTATTTTTATCTGTTGAAAAGGTATGTCGTCAATTACTGACCCATACTGTAAACATTTTGCATTTAAAAATTATTAATACTCTGGAGTTAAATGAGGTTTTAAACTGAAATCATGAATCAGTCATTATTAGAAACCTAAAAGCACTGAATAGCCATCAAGTCCTAATGTGAGACTCATCAGAAGTGCGCATCCTTGACTTCGGCTCTCGAGACTCGAACCTAATACCTTCAGTCTTGTGTGTGCATACGCTTAACCTCCAGATCACTGAACTGTCATCGAACAGTGTTGATGTCTAACTTTGATCAATCTAAGGCTTTTTCACAGCTTCACCCATTCATTGTCTTGGGTAGTTTACAACCTACACCTAACTAGATTGAACTCCACCGGTTACGACTTCTATTTAGAACTCCGACAAATTCCTCACGAAACTAGTCACCAGTGAGCTCATTTTATAATTTTTTCCTGAAAATGACCTATTCACGATTTCAATGTAAAACCACACTATCTCTATAACTGTTTAACTCTTGTTCTGTTTTTTTCTAAACTATTATAAACATTTCTTAGATATCAACTACGTCGGTAGAAGAAACATTAACAAAAGAACAACAATCTTTTTATCATTATCAATCTTCAATGAATAATTTAAACAATAGTTGGTTAAACAATCAACCACCTATTCAATGTATTCATCATCATCATAATAATAATGAAATATCTTGTGATCATCAATCAATTTCATCAACAAATCCAATAAATCAATTGATCATTGATCAACAACCATCCAATAATCGAGTTACTTTTAATCTACCAAATGATTATGAACTTTCTTCAGCTAATTCTTATCCAATCTCTACTCATGTTAATTATCATCAACATGATAGTGTTGATAACCACTACCATCAACAACAACAACAGTATCATCGTTTAGTTCATAGTAATTCTGATTTGACCACAACAACAACATTATTACATGCCAGCTCGTCATCATCATCATTATTGTCAATATCGACTAATGATTCACTACACTCGTCAAATTCAGATTCACAACTTTTAAAAATGAATACAAATGATTTGCCACAATGTTCTCTATCATCGTATTATTATGATCAAATAAGGGATAAACAATTATTTAAAGAGACAACATTATCGGTAAGTAATTGTGTATCAGGTTCTTTCTAAGAAATTCTTGTAATGATAATCTATCCTATCTATCTATCTATCTATCATATGTAATTAAAACAATCAGATGCATGTTATTGAGATGTTACTAATGTTGCATGTTACTGATGCAGCTGGTTAAATAACAATTAAAAAGTGTCCATCAATCAGGAAGAAGCGGTGGAAGTGGATAGGACATACACTACGAAAAGCACCTAACTGCGTCACCAGACAAGCCCTCACATGGAACCCTCAAGGCAAAAGGAAAAGAGGAAGGCCAAGGAACACACTACGCCGAGAAATAGAGAAAGATATGAGAGGAATGAACAAACATTGGACAGAACTGGAGAGGGAAGCCCAGGACAGAGTTGGTTGGAGAAAACTGGTGAGCGGCCTATGCTCCATTGGGAGTAACAGGCGTAAGTAAGTAAGTAAGTAATCGCCATTATCCTCCATCATGTGGTCAGGTGAGTTTAGGTTTATTGCATCTGGATTCATAAGTAAAGATACAATCAAACGCAAGAATGTGAAGTAAAAATCATTTCTAAACGGATTCTATGTTTTACGTAAAGACTACTTAAGAGTAAATCAACAGTAGTCTAGGAGTATTCTGTACATTAAAATAAACGTAAGTCCGTTGTTATAGAGGTTAGAAATTATGCTGTGCATCAGAAGTCGTTAAGAATTAATAGTCAATTTGAAAACCGATTCTGAAAAAAGATCAAATTGTAAATTGAAACTTGTATAACATTCGGGTAAAGCCTTACTCACCTTATGTGAAAGTGCAAGTTGAGAAATGCATTACTAAGTAAAGCAAATCCATACATATTCTTCAACAGTGTTAGTAGATTCTCAGCTTTCATATCTGAGCATAACACACATTTTGCAGGTTTAACTAATTAGATGGAGAAAATGTTCCAACAATTAATGTGTAACAACTGTTTATGAGAAGTTTTAAGGCATTATATTTCCCAAGTTTATAAGAAATTTCTCAGTTAACAAGATCAAATAAATTGTCTTGTCTTGTTTTTTTACCCTAATTTTAGAGAAATTCTGACAGTTATTTATCACTTATTCCTAGACCACCAAGTAATAATACGCATCATAATTCCATCAATCTGAACCAAAATTGTCAAAATTTCAATCCAATTGTAATCAATAATACAACAACAAGTATCAGTTTACAAGATACAACAACTGACACATCATCGAATTCAATCTATTCCAATGTGAACTGTCCAACTGTTTCATATTGTACCATGATAACATCAAGCAATTCTATTACTAACAATGTCAGCAGTACCCTAGTGAATAGTAACACTAGTAATCCTGATAATATTGATAACAATAATAATAATAATAATAATAATAATAATAATAATAATAATAATAGCTTAGATAGAGTGAGATCTTATCGATGCAATTTTGATGGTTGTACAAAAGCCTATTTCAAAAGTTCTCACCTAAAAGCTCATATTCGTGTTCATACAGGTAGGCAAGAAGACATTTTCAATATTCCATTAAAAAAATATTATGCTGTGATATTCAGGCTTTAAAAAAAATTCGCCGATTTTTCATCCTGTTAAAAAAGAGAACTGATATAACCTTTTAAGTCATCTATGCGTGAATTAATGATCATAATGTTTTAATGATTTGATATGATACTATTAAGTGACTTTGCAGAATTTCTTGCCCAATTTTCTACAGCTTATCATATTAGAACAAGAAGAAATCTAACCGATTTACTCTCCATATTGACTCCAACACTTACAGGACCATTTACGTGAATTACATGTCTGAAACGTATCATAACTAAAGATAGTTGAAAATAAACTATTACTTACTTACTTACGCCTGTTACCCATAGTAGTGCATAGGCTGCCGACCAGCATTCTACTCTGTCCTTAGCCTTTCTTTCCAGTTCTGTCCAATTGTTGATCATTCTTTTCATGTCTGTCTCCGATTCTCGGAGTGATGTGTTTTTCGGTCTTCGACTTTTCCTCTGACCATTCCAATATGAGGTCTTGTCTTGAGGCACAGTCGTGTGCTTTCCTCAATGTGTGTCCTTTACACTTTCACCTCTACTTTCTGATTTCTTCCTCAGCTTTACTCTAATTTGTTCTCCCCTCACTGTAGGTTGTTTCTGATGGTGTCTGGTCAACGAATCTGGAGTATCTTGCGTAAACATCTGTCAATAAACAATTGTATCTTGTGAATGACAACTTTCGTGGCTTTCCAAGTTTCCGCCTCATACAGTGGAACTGTCTTGATATTTGTATTGAAAACTCTGACTTTTCTGATTGCTGGCAGTTGTTTTGAGTTCCAGATGTTCTCCATTTGTGGAAATGCTGCCCTCAATTTCCCGATCCGCGCCTTTACATCTGCATCAGATATACCTTGCTCGTCAGTGCTGCTACCCAGATATGTAAAGGTTTCTACGTCCTTCAAAGTTCCTCCGTCAACTGGGGTTTGCTTGATGCATGTTGTGTTGTATAGGAGAATCTTGGATTTCATTTGTGTATGTTTAGACCTACTGCAGAAGAGGCTGCTTTTACACTGGTCGTCTTCTCCTGTAGTTATTGTTTCACGTGGGATATAAAAGCTAGATCATCTACGAAGTTCAAATTGTCCAGCTGCATCCTGGCTGCTCACTGTATCCCGTGCTTCCCTTCAGATATTGATGTCTTCATAATCCAGTCGATTACCAGAACAAAGAGGATGAGAGTAGGCAACCTTGCCTAACACTGGTCTTTACTTTGAACGAGTCTGTAAGCTGTCCTCCATGCACGATTTTGCAGTTTAATCCACCATGAGATTTCCGTATGATGTTGACTTTCTTCGCAGACACCATAATGTCGAAGAAGCCTCCATAGTGTTGTCCTGTCCATGCTGTCGAATGTTTTCTTGTAGTCACTGAAGTTGATGTACAGTGGTGAATTCCATTCATTCGACTGTTCCACAATAAATCGTAGTTTGCCAATTTATTACTTTAATTCGATAAGGATTTATGGTATCTGAATGATAATCATTGAAAATTTTTAATTCGAAATGATCACCAAAATATACATCCATATTATCAAAATTCTAAACTAATAGATCTTTGTTTTGTTACAAATAGAATGTTGATTAACTGTACTAAAAGATTTTGGTATAAACTAATTATGTTGTTTATTTACTATTCATGTATAAATTGTTACATTTAGTAAACAATATATGAAATATCACCTACATTCAGTGTATCCTAATCGATGAGTAGTAGTAATATTGATTTTAGAGTAAAACTAGCCAGTTGTTAGATTACTAAAAGTGATCCGGAGGAAATCTTACAAGTTGTGCACTTGCAATCTTCATGGAGCTGATGTTCCTGGTGTGATTCAATCCCCTATGTCATACAGTTTTACAATTTGATGTTACATATATATATACAAAACCTGAATAATTAATTCACTTGATGTTGTCATTCAGAATATTAGTGATCATATTTTAATTTAATCAATAGAATTCTATCTATGAAACATGATCTAAGCACTATGCAGTGAGTGACCAATTAAACTATAGGACTAGTTAGCTAAACTGTCTAGTTCAATTTATGAACGTGCTTAGGTCGAGTTCACTTACCATGTCACCTACACACACCTATAATCTTGCATATGCAAAATATCATTTAACCCCTGAGTTGATCAATGTTAGACCACTATTAGAGGCCTGGAAGCATTACACGACCGTCAATTCCTAGTGTAGTGAACGAGAACACAGGTGGGGTAACCGAATTGTATTTAACGGAAATTACAGAGTTACTCAGTAAAATAGGAAAACCATATCGTAAATCGTTCATTTGCAAAATATCAGTTCATCATATCGAACTGGACTGTTCCTGTTGCAAAAAACATCAATCCATTGTCACTATTCATGCGTTTCATACAAATTCCTTTATGTTCTAACACTTGCTTTCTTGATCTCCCCCCATCTTCTGCTGCCAGACATTACGTTGACACTCACGTCATATACTACTTATAAGTAGTAGCTCACACCACACTAGTATATGACTCATCAGGAGTGCGCATCCAGTAGTATATCCGCCAGCATCCAACTGTGTTCATGTCTAACTTCAATCAATCCCGAATATTGCGCAATAATCATCCATTGTTTTCGATGGGTAACTGTCAAACACGACACAGTTGAACTCTCTACAACTTTATCACAACAATTACGCGAAATAAACGAGTTTTTTTTATCTATGACATCAGATTGAACAATAATAACATCAGCCTATAATGTTGTTATTAAGTTTTATTTATTTCTATCTATAATCTTTATTTATTTCAAATCTATAATTCAAGGCGAAAAACCATATATCTGTGATTGGAATCATTGTAATCGAAAATTTGCCCGTTCCGATGAATTATCCCGTCATCGTAGAGCACATACAGGTGAACGTAATTTCATTTGTCAACGTTGTCCACGACGTTTTACACGTAGTGATCATCTTAGTAAACATTTACGACGACATAATTCACCTGTATCGTCGTCATCATCATCATTAAAAGAAAATTAAAATGACTTGTGAAATTATTCAATTTTTTTCAAAATATGTATCATATTTGTTTATGATTGTTATTTGATAGAGTTACTTTCTTTTTTTTATTTATTATTTGAATGCTTCGCTGTTTTATTTTTTTCCTTCTTTGTCCATTCCCCAGTTCCGTACTATTTGTGTTGATTGTGTAAATAATCTCTCTCTCTCTCTCTCTGTGTATGTATGTCAACTGTACTATATCTCAATATCAATATTTATGCCTAATTCCAAACTGATGATAATATTAGTTATCATTTGATCTTTTTTTTTGTTTGAAAAAAAGAGCATACAGTTTGTGAATGCACATTGATTCGTTTGTAATATGTCTAAAATACTACCTACATACCAGTGCACACACACTGCCCCCAATGTGTACTCTGTGTGAGATAGATACATTAACTTCTCTCCATCTCTCCATCTTTGTCTGTCTGTCTGTCTCTGTTCTGCTATCTTGTAATCCATGTGATATATGAACTATTTGCGTTATTGTGTTAACTCGATATCTGTGAATTGTGAACTTGGATAGATCTTGTGGAAAAAACTACTACTTTTATTATTGTTTTATTTCGTTCCTATTTTATACTTTTCTCTCTGTGTTGTTGCTGTTGTTTATTGTTTATTGTGTATAGGGTTGGTTCATTGATGGCTTTGATTAGATTTTTTTGACTTACGCAATAATAACTCACTTCTTTCTTGTTTTAACATTCATAATTTCATTGGCCATATCTATACCGTACTGCTTTCATATATATATACATATGTATAATTATTTTGTCTGTATTTTTTCTCTGTTATGAACCAAAGATTGTGGCGTTGATTATTATTATTATTTTACTATTGTTATTATTACTACTGCTACTACTGTTAATACTACTGATTATTTATAGGTTGTAAAGTTTTCACAAGATTTGTTTTTCCGCTTTCTCTCCCTACGTTATACCGATTGTTATGTAAATTGTTCATGTTCAGATTATTTTAAGTAGTATGAACAATTTCTTGTTTATTAATTCTAAATTCATACTTTTTTTTAAAAAAAATAAAAAAACAACGATACTTCTTACATGAATTGTATGGCATTTTTAATGGAATTTGAAATGATCTCGATGAAATACTGTGTTTTGCATTACAGGGTTGTGAAGATTGTTAAGTTACACATTTTTTGAAACCATGAATCGATCAATGTTAGACCACCATTAGAAACCTGGAATCACTGGACGGCCGTTTCGTCTTGGTATGGGACTCATCAGTGGCAGTGCGCATCCACGATTCCTGCACCCCGCAGGATTCGAACCCAGGACCATCGGTGTTGTGCGCGAACGCCCTAACCGTGTGTTGATATTTTGACTGAAATTTGAACATCGTATTACAGATTGCCTCGATATGTAGCCGATATGATATAAGTTTACGTAGAATGAACTCATATTTCGTCCTATTTGAGATACTTGACGATATTTGGGTTCGAGTGAACTTCAACGCTGAGATGTAGATAGATTCAGTTGATGAGTACCAAATAGGATGAGATGCTCGTCTTGAATTTAATTAGAGCTTTCGATTGACATGTTTGATATTTGAACACTTGATACACTAACTTACAAATCGATCTACTAGTTTTATTTGTAACCATGAGTCGATCAATGTTAGACCACCATTAGAAACCTGGAAGCACTGGACTGCCGTTTCGTCCTGGTATGGGACTCATCCACGACTCCTGCACCTCGCAGGATTCGAACCCAGGACCTTCGGTATTGTGCGCGAACGCCCTAACCGCTAGACCACTGAGCCGGTATCTAACGATGTTAATGTCTAACTTGATCGAATTCACGGAGTTGCGCAACCTCATACCCTGTATACATCCGAACAGGTTTGGACTTCACTGGTCACAACTAAAATTATTATACGGAAATCCTAAATTTGAAAGACAGAATATGTGAATTAGGAGAAGTTTTAATTTAAAGGTTAGTTCTTATGTGGATGACGATAAAGCTGTTAAAAGGATTAGATGTGATCTTGAATTCCAGAGAATTTTAGAAAACATGCTAATATCAAGACATTGGAAAATTAATCCGAAGTTAGTCAGTTAGTCAATCAGTTACAACGTAGAACTTCGTACGTACGTAAGTCACTTCAGGTTGCCATACCGCATTAGCATAGAGATGCAACTGTCAGTTTAAATCTAATAGCGGTAGCGATAGTAGAAGTATTAGCGGTAATGAAAAAGATTAGGTTTCGAAGATATGATTCGTAAAGTATAATTCAGTGAAATGAATTTATAAAGTGAAAGATAGAGATGATGAATTCAGATTAAGATTTGAGAGAACACAGAGTGGATGCTCCTGCGCAATTGCAAACGATTTTCAACCATGTCGTTCAAGATCTCTAACCATCGGTGACCAACATGACTCAGTCCACTTGTGAGTGATTTCATGGATTTCTACCATGTTTTGATCTGGCCGCCCCTAGCTTTCTTCCAACCAACTTTAACACCACAAAACATATATCGTCGAGGCAGTCGGTGGTAGCACATTCGTAAAACGTGTCCCAACCACCCCAACTGATAGAGTTTCACCACTTCATCGACTGATCTACCATCCCTACCTAGTACTCGTTTCCTAACGACAACAGTGCTTACTCGGTTGTTCCAGGATATACTAGCAATGCTTTGGAGGCACCTATGATCGAAGACAAGCAATCTACGAATATATTCTACTCTCACCAGCCATGTTTCGCATCCGTATAGTAGGAGGGAGCGAACTTCTGCGAAGTACACCCGTCGTTTGGTTAGCGCACGTATATCTAGCTTGCGCCATAGGTGACTCAAGTTCCAGAAAGCCGATCGAGCTTTTTGTATCCGTGCTGAGATTTCTTCAGTCACCAGACCATCGGCACTGATGAGACTCCCGCGATAAGTGAAGCGGTCGACACTCTTGACTATTTGACTCCCTATCACGAATTCAGGTACCGATCCACAAGCTTACAGAAAATATTCTCTTATTTATTTAAATATGATAAATAATTAGATTATTTCTTTTCATTGAAAAATCAGTTTAAGATTTGAAACAGAAATATAAAACCAGAATTAATTATATCTATGTCTATAAATCCATACATGTTGAATAATTAACTGACTGTGTGAATTCTACCGCTCAAACGGTAATTCGTTGACGTTTGAAGAGAATGATACTAGATTTTCAATTTCAGTGTGTACAAGTTTAAATCGGGTTGTAATAGGCATATTGGTGTTGGGGACGTTAGATCCCCACAACTCTCACTTGGGAAAGGTCCCAATTTTGTAATTTATTTCTGAAATTTTGATTTATTTATGTTTGCGCGCCAAAAAACGCTTAGTTGTGCTACAGCTTATATTTCTTTGAATGTCATTGGTCAGCGAATTTTTTCAGTATTCTATTTTGTGGCTCTCCCAAGGGCGTTTCCATCATTGTATAAATAAGCTTGATTTGTGTGCTTAGCCACCCCAAATTTTCTAGGTTCCTGTAGGATACAGTCTCTACTCCTTATCAAGCCTTTTCGCTCTAGTTAGCATGGCCGGGACAATCGGATTATAATACTGTTGGGGATGTTAGATCCCCAAAACTCGCTTGATAAATGCCTTATTTTGGTTTTCACGTTTGCCAGCATGGGCTGATCAGTTGACCTTGAGATTTCAATTCCCACCAGGAAAATCCATGGCTGTGATTGGCTGCTGTGTATTTTAGTGTGCTATTTTCGTAACTGTCCCAAGGACGTTTCTATGATGTATAAATAAACGAGAGTTGTATGCTTGATTGTACTGTGATTGTTGGGTGTTTGTAGAATATACTTTCTACGCTTACAAAGCCTTCTTACTTTAGTTGGGGATTCAAGGTAGCCTACCTGGACGCTGGTAATTGTATCGTTCGCGTTTATCGACTAACGTGAACTCATAATAGCCTCAAGCGTACTTAGCAACGAGCGTAACAACTGGCGACGGTGGTTTTAGAAATATGGATCCTGCCAAACTTGAATTATTACTTGAGCAGCAGCTGAAACTGATGCAGATGTTAACAGACATGAAGATTTTCCCTTCCACACAGACCAGCTCATCTAATGCAACCACAGCTCCATCGGTCGTCGGCATCGCAAATAGCATAGCTGAATTTCATTATGATCCTGATGCAAATGTTACTTTTGACATGTGGTTGCGGCGTTATGAAGATTTATTTAAATTCGATTTCGCAAACCAAGATGATTCTTGGAAGGTTCGGCTGCTACTTTGAAAGTTGGGTGCAAGTGAGCTGGGTAAATACTGCAATTTGATCCTGTCTTTGAACCCACGAGATCGTTCATTTTCTGAGACAGTTCAGACTTTAAGCCAACACTTTGGCGACAACTCGTCACTGTTTAATACTCGTTATCGATGTTTGAGGTTAATTATGAACGAAGATGATGATTTTCTTACGCATGAGGTCATCGTCAACCGCGAATGCGAACGTCTTCGGCTGAAGTCTTTGTTGGAAGATCAGTTTAAAGCCCTTATACTCATCTGCAGCCTCCAGTCACATAAGTTCAGTTATATTAGAACAAGGCTATTATGTCGCTTGGAGCAAGATCCGAAGCTTACGCTTAATTACATGGCTAATGAGTGCCAACTTCTCACTAACCTACAACGAGACTCAACTATAGTTCAGAGTGGTAATTCAAGCCAATTTGAAGTTCATTTGGTACAGCAGCCACCTAATCAGAATAAGTCTGCGCATGTTACACCCAGTTCATCCCGCTCGAACTCTGCCCAAAAATCCAAAATGAATCCGTATGCTGCTTGCTGGCACTGCGGCTCATGGCACTATGTACGGAACTGTCCATTTAGGCAGCATAGATGCAGGAAGTGTAATGTCATCGGTCATAAAGATGGCTTTTGCCTACAAAAAAAGCCAAACCGATCCAGAAGTGCTAAGAAGCCTGTTCCTAGATCCAGTACCAATACGTTGCCCTAATATCTTCCTGTCTGATGTCTGGTGAAAGAGTAGTCGTTCCAGAATCCATTCGTGCAAAAGTGCTGAGACAGTTCCATCTCGGTCATCCTGGGATTAAACGAATGAAGTCCATAGCCAGGAGTTGTGCATACTGGCCTCACATGGATCAACATGTCACAGCGTTGGTTGAAAAATGCATGCGGTGTCAGCAGGCGGCAAAGATGAATGCCGAAATTCCACCGGTTTCATGGCCCAAACCTGAGCATCCTTGGTCCAGGATACATGTCGACTTCGCTGGTCCAATTAATGGAACTATGTATTTAATTGTCGTCGACGCCTTCTCTAAATGGCCAGAAATCAGCCCCGTTATGCCGCCCACTACAACTAAGACTATACAGCTCCTAACTGAAATTTTCTCGCGAAATGGCATACCAGATGTGGTCGTATCCGACAATCGCTCTCAATTCACCTCTTCCCAATTCCAGACTTTCTGTCAACGGCTAGCCATTAAGCACTTACGCTCGCCACCATACCACCCGCAATTGAATGGGCAGGCGGAAAGGTTTGTGGATACGTTTAAAAGAGCGTTGCTTAATTCAAATTGGGAGGGGACACCAGCCGACGCGTTTTAAAATATCTTGTACGTCTATCGGACAACACCGAATGAGTTGTTACCGGAGCAAAAGTCCCCAGCAGAAATCCTGATGGGAAGAAGATTGAAAACGATCCACAGCCTGATGCATCCTACTAATGCACCCACATCAGTAGAGACAAAGCCGCAAAGACAATACGCTTATGAAGTGGGATGCCTTGTGTTTGCCCGCGACTATAGAGTGAACCATGATCCTTGGGCAGAAGCGAGAGAGATCGGAAGATTTGGAGGAGTTTGTGTGAAGTAGAGGTAGGAGGTGATAAATGGTCACATCATCGAAATCAGATACGCAGACGGCTAGCCCCAGATCGCCCATAAAGAGCAGAAAGCCTTCCCCTTGACATCTTGCTTGATACCTTCAACCAACCGGAAGCCCTGCCACTAGAAGAAACTCAGTAGCAAGCTGTTCTTCGTTCCCGAAGGTATCCTGAGATGGTGGAGAAAACTTGTAGCTCAGGTGTATGA